GTTAGAGAGAGAGTTTGCAGACCTTCACCTGCCGGTGCACATACCTGGAGGCCAGAGGAAGTTGTGGCCTACCTATCCTATTGCTCTCTCTGTTGCACCGTGAGTCAGGATCTGTCGCAGAAACTGGGGCTACGCTGTCGGGCAGCAAGCCCCCTCCTCCGTTATCTCCTATCTCCACCCGGCACAGCACTGAGGTTACAGGAGCCAGCGTGGCCGTCAGCTTTTTACATGGCTGCTACATATTTAGACTAAGGTCCTCGTGTCTGCCCGGCAGGCTGTTTTATACACTGAGCTATCTCCCCAACTCGGGATTACATTTTGTGGTATATCTTTTAACAGTGGATGATTTCTCTAGTAAAGAGAACTTTTTTTTTTTTGAGATAATGCCTCTTTATGTCACCCTGGCTAGCTTAGAACTCTCCATGTAGACCTGACTAATTTCTAACTTGTGGTTGGTTTCCTACCTCCTGAGTGTTGGGATTACAGGCGTGCCTCGCCATGCCTGGCAATTAGTGCCTCCACCCTCAACCCCTTTTATTTTCAAAGAAAAATATTTCATCAGTGTATCATCTTCAAAAATGATTGCCAAGGGCGGTATGTACACTGCTTGCCTAGCCAAGCGCAAGGTCCTGGCCTTGATCCTCAGCACCGGGAAAAAAAAAAAAAAAATCGAGGAAAAATTGAATGAGGGTTCTTAAGTCCAAATGTAATAGATTAGATTACTTCGCTTAAATTTTGTGAAAAGGCAATTTTATTAATATTTTGCCAAAAACTACAATTTATACTCTTCACTTTAACATAGCTGATATTCTAAAACAAGTCCGGGAAATGAAGCAGTGGCTTCTTCTGAGGAATTTCAGAAGCAATTTGCGATAGGTACCACGCTGAACCTCTGGGTGCCGCTGTCGTCCAGTCAGTGGCCATTCTGACCCAGTCATCCCCGCGGGCTCTCGCAAACACATCCAAAAAAAATGCACGGCCTCCCTGCGCTGTTTGAACCACTTGATTTTCGTCGCCCTTTCTCCTGCTCTCTGATTGCAGTATTCGGGTCATCATCATCAGGATATTTAATGGCTCCGAGTGAGGCGTTGCCTTTTCCTTCCTGGGAGGCTGAGAGCAACTACCGCGCGTGAACTCACGTCTCAACGGCTGCGTGGATAGGAAGTCGCCCACGGGGCAGGCGCGCAGAGCGCAGGAAGCGCCGCCTCCCTTCCTGCTGTCTTTGTTCTGCTCGGAGAACTTACGAACCAACTGCGCTGCGTGATTCGGAGAGAAGGCTGAGTGTTTAAGTGTGGAGAATCCGGGGGTGAGTGCTGAGAACGACTCCATCTAGCCAAGACAGCAGAGATCAGCGTGAGAATGACTGGATCGAGGCAGCAGATCCTCCAACGAAGTTATGTAAGCCGCTCGAATTTGAAGATTAAACCTACCGAAAATCACATAGGCAGAATCATCCTGGACTTAAATGACAACGGCACAGACCGTTTTGGAAATTCTGGAGAGCATCTTAATAACGGCGTTCAAAAATTCGGACTCTGAGAATAGCTCTACAAAGGTGTCACATAACTTCGGGTAACCGTCTGGTCTGACTCCAGAAATGGAGAGCACTACAGCAGTAAATATTGGGAACTGCTGCTAAAGAAACCCTAGACCAGAGGAACAGGACTGCCACGCCTCGGTGAGGTTCACGGGGCAGGACAGCTCTAGACCAAATGAAGCCTTAGAGACGCTGTCAGGCCTTGGACGATGAAACACACAGCTGTGCAGCCGAGCCATCTTGCAGAAGAGCCCGTCCTCGCCTACGTCGCATTCCAGGTAATCCTCATTGACATCCTTAAGGTAGAGTTCTCCTGTTATTTCTACACAATCTCACAATTCATACACAATAGATCTACTGCCCCCAGATTACAGCAATGCCTGATTTTGATTTTTTTTAAAAAAAGGCAGTAACCGCATGGGATAGAAGATTGTTGGTAGTCTACAGACTCATTTTCAAAGTCCCAGTTGAAGTGGAGGTCAAGAACGACAGAGTCGTCAGCCAGGCATCCGTAGGTAAGAACTGCTATTAATAACCAAACAGCAAACTGAGAGCTCTGCTCAAATGGAGAGGTGAAATTGTTGCAGAAGGAACTGACAGTTGCCCCTCCAAGAATCGCTATAGAATTGTCACCTAGTGACAGATGGAATCCTAACTGGAAGCAGACTCTACAGTCCAGTCTTGCCATCGGTGCCTTCACAGGGATGAGCCATCCCTTTTTTGCAGCACAAGCATGACTCAAGCATTTTCACCAACAAAAATGCTCGGCTTGCCCCGAGGGATGGTGCATACCTGTCACCTCAGCACCCAGGAGGCAGAGCAAGAAGACGGAGAATTTAAGGTCAGCCTGGACTACAAAGTGAAATGCTGTCAAAACAAAAAATAAATCAAAGTGGTTCTTCTTCCCAGACAAGCCATTGTTTTCTTTTTTTTCCCCCGTTTCTTTTTGTGGTGCTGAGGTTTGAAGTTGGGGCCTTTTCTAGTCTAGGCAAATGTTACATACTGAGCCATATCCTGATCCCTTATTTTTCTTCGAGACCTGGTCCTGCTGTGTAGCACAGGCCGGCCTTGAATTTATAATCCATCTGTCTCTGCCTCCTGAATGCTGGATTACAGATATGTACCATTGTGCCTTGTGCTGAGGGACTGGGAACACTCACCCCAAGCCTCCACTGAATACTTGAACACTTCTGAGCAGAGCTTGGAGTCTTTCATAATTCCTGCTTCTTCCTGACCTGGCACCAAGAAATGTCATCGAGAGTTGTGTAGTAATCTGGGAGACTGCCTTTAAATCAATCCTCAGCATGATAACCAGGGTTTGGCTGGCTCAGTGCCATCCTAGCCTCCCTGCGATGGTGGGTGACTGTCACAGAAATACAAGGAGGGTGCTTTGCCGAGAGCTTCAACTAGGTAAGGCACTGCAGTGCGCACTATGGAGCCTGTCTACCTTCTGACAAAAGTGGGCGCCAGCTTGAAGCACAAGAGCCAACTCTCTTATCCTATATTTCAGACAGCTAACGTGGTTCTTCAACCTAGGGGCTCATACAGCTAAGTGTGTACAACACTGCTCCCTGAGGACTCAGAGACAGAACCTACCAGGGCCTATGTGGTGGGCAGTCACTACACTGTACCTAGTCCCTACCATGAGTGTTTGGGAGTTGCTGCCAGACCCCAGTGTACCCAGCATAGCACTGTCAGGCAGATGGAGGTTCAGTCTTGGAAGCCTTGCCTTAGTTTTTGTTCTCTGCCTCCTCAAAGGGATTCTAGCTGTCATCTTGGGCCTGTAATAATGTTCTAGCTCCAACACTAGGGACGTCACCTGTTAATATAGTCTGTGCATGGTTTCACCTATCATAAAATCTTAGTTTCTTCAGATTAGTTCCAGAAATATCTTTCACATGGACATTGCCTGTAGTGCCAACAGTGAAGCCATAAATTTTATATTGGAGTCAAATATATAATGTGAGTCTGAATATTTTCATTTAGTACGTACAGCCTTTTATAAGTTGCTGCTGCTTGTCTTTTGTTGGTGGGGGTGGGAAGCACTACAAGGTTACTGATTTTGTTTGTTTGTTTGTTTGTTTGTTTTTCAAGACAGAGTTTCTCTGTGTGTAGCTCTGGCTGTCCTGGAACTCTCTCTGTAGACCAAGCTGGCCTTGAACTCACAAAGATTCACCAGCCTCTACCTCCCGAGTGCTGGGATTAAAGCCATGCACCACCACCACCCACTCTTACTGCTTATTTTTATGAGTGCTTTATTTTGCCTCTTTAATTCACAATTCCTTTTGGAAGAAGTTTGCATATACTAACATGTTCTGAAGAGTCTTATTTTGTATTAAAGAGTTCCTTCCTTGTGATAATGAAGGAGATTTACTGCATCACTCAATTACTACTCTTGAGGTCCATATACTTGTCTTTGAGATTCTGAGAAACTGTGTATTTAGTTGTATAAGAACAGAAATTGTCCCTCTACGGACGATTCATTTGGCTGTTAAGTCCTTCCTTTATTTCCTCGTTTTCTGAGTCTTCCATGGCTATCATTATCTAGTTGGCTGCCAGCATCTGTCTCAGTTGTTCCTGAAATGCCAAACTCTAGAGTGCCAATACCATATTCCTCTCAGATAAGGAAAAATAAATTACTCTAACTTGAGACATTGTAGTTAGAAACCGTCTTTATCAAGGGACACATTAAATATTTGTAAAGTCTTAGATTTTAAAGATCACAATGGGAGATCAACAAAATCTATGGGACTTATCCTTTAAGCAAAGACAAATATTTTTCTTTACTGAAGACAACCAACAGGTAAATTTGTTTAAGTTATGATTATTGCACAAGAAAATTTGTAAGTTTCATTTAGTTATTTATTAATGTAAGAATTCAGCTTTTTTCCTTTTCTTTATTTTGTTTTTTATCTGAAAAACCTCCTATATCCCAGGCTGACCTCAAACCCACTGTGTAAGCCAAGGATGACTTCAAACTTCTTATCCTCTTGACACTAACTTCCTGCTAGTATTCCAAGCATGCACACCACTCCTGGATTTCTGCATTGCTGTGAATTGAACCCGGGGCTTCAAGCATGCTAGGCAAGCATTCTAACAACTGAGCTACACCTCCATCCAGCCTTTACGACGTACAATACCTAAGAAATCATAAAATTAACATATATTTACAAGAAAATACTTCTCCACAATGAAAAGATCCCTAATATATTTATATATCCAAATAATTTATACTAATGCTTCACAGAAAATACCATTTTATTGCTGTAATACCAAAGCCATAATTTCTGTACAGGAGTGTATAAGTGAACATTAGTCAATGCACTGATAATTTCCTTTTTTAATAGGGTTAATCACTACAAAACAAACAAAAACTGTAAATGTTCTGACCTTGGAATGCACTTCTTGTCATATTGTAAGTATTTCAGCAGAGCATCACGGAGTGTCATGCCACTGTGATATGTGGGTCAGGGCTTAGAACATGATAAAATGACAGGAAATATGTGTATATATGTATGTGTGTAATTTGTACAGTGTGTGCTGGTTTATTCATGTGGTTTTAAATGATTTACTATGTGGTTTTAAATGATTTACTATGGACTTCATCATAACCGGAACAAAAGCAGTGACTTCAGTGACTGTAAGGCTGCACCTCTGGCTTTGGAAGGAGTGACTCCCGCTATCCTCTCAGCCACTACTGTGGGCGAACTAATGATTCCAAGTACTTGGTGGTAACAGCGTCTTCAATTGTCCCTTCTCGGATCTTCACACCTCTCTTCTAATTGTTCTGGAATCTGTTCAAAATCGTGCTTCCACCTCTCACTCTTCCATTCACTTTCAGGTTGTTGTGCTTAAATTGGTTTGCTTTCAACTACCAGTTTCCCATTTCATGTTTGAACAAAATAATAATAACTTCCCGTATCTGCCAGCATTTCACTTAGCCAACAAGCATATCTTTCACTGAATGTTGTCACTTAGTAGTTCAGAATGTATGAAAGTCAGCCAAAGCTTGCCCTTGCTGCAGCTGATCTGAAAGCTGAGACGACGCTCAGGATAAAGCAGACTAGTTCTGAGAAGAGTCTACCACCACAGCACATTTGGCAGAAGGAAGAGTGCTAGCTGGAAGTTCTTTTCTGAAACAAACCAAGTCTCGGAACTAGCGTGAAGTTGAGAAGTTACTCCTCCATATCCTCAAATTGTTCCTGCTTTTCTTCAAACTAAGATCCAATTCATTCATCTCGTCTGTCAGTTTGTTGACTGCATCTTCTGCCTTGTTCTCCATTCTAAATATTCCAGCTCTACTCCAGGCTCTAAAGAACTCTGAGCTTTCCAAGAACTCCCTTCTGTCAGGATCTGGCAGCAGAGAAGGATGTCTTGCTGTTCTTAGAAGGCACTTCTCAGGAGCTGCTCTCCATTTCTGCCAACTCGGTGGATAACATATCTTTGCCTACTTTGACCCTGGCCATACCACTGGTGTTCCATTTTTCTGTCCATGTGAAAGGACCAGATGTTGAGCTCCATGGCTGCTGCAGAGGCGCACCAGCCAGCCTGAAACGAGTCCATGTGGCCTCCCCACGCCGCTGCCAGGCCATCTCCAAACCATGTGTAAAAGGAAAGTGACATCCTCGTCATCCTAGTTAAAAGATACTGCTGTTAAAGAAGGCCACCTCGTCTTGGAGAATATAATGCATGATTATAGGACAACTGTTATCCCTACAGCCTCCCTAAAAATAGAGAAGTGGCTTCTTTCATCTGTGAAAGATAATATCACAACTTCTCTGTCTTCTGAATTTGAAGTCTAAATTATATATTCATGTGATATTTTAGTGAGATTCCAAGACCCCAATTTTATTCTATTCAAAATATATTGCCTTTGGGGGAATTTTAAATCTTTTTTAACATAGCTGATTCAGAAAAAAAGATGAATAAGGATATGTTTTAATGCAGTCTTCAAAAATCCCAGGGTTCTGAAAATATTCAAACCAAAATGGAAGGAAAGTGGAGTGGTCCAGATCCTGAAGCTCTACCTTGAAGTCTGAAAGTTGATTTCTCCCCCTTTGATGTTTTTTCATCCTCCAAACTTCTCTTTGTGGCCTGAAAAATTATCAAATTGTCAAACTATACAACAGAATAAATGGAAGGCTGATATTCTTTGTGGTTAGAGTTCTTTTATTTCTTTAATAGAACACAGGGAAAGCAGATAATTCGGACCACCAGGTTCTCCGGAACAATGCAATTTAACAACATATCTATAAGGAAATGAACACTCTATGCATACATACATACATACATACATACATACATACATACTGTTTACAACCGCATGCATACATACATACTGTTGTAAAAAAAAAAAAAATTAACTCTTTCCCTGACGGTAAACCAGGACTTAAGGAAGGATACCTGATTACATTTCCAAGACATGCAGTAACTTGATAGGACTCTGGGCGCCGCTGTTCACCAACCTGAGGGATACATGCTCCATACTACCCGCCCAACTTAAAAAAAAAAAAAAATGTAAACGTGTGACTTTGTACTCCATCATGCCACACTGAAAATGTCTGCCTGAGACTGCCCAGCGTATCTCTGGATATCTCTCTGCTGTAATTATTTTAAATACTGAGGTAAAGAAGACCCTGGAAAAACAGAAAAACAATACCCTTGATAACAGATTGAGAGAAAAGTGGGAAGCCAGAGAGCAATGGCGATTCCAGAGAAGCTAACCGGCTGCAGCCGGCTGATGCTGCTGTGCCTTTCTCTGGAGCTACTATTGGAAGCCGGGGCTAGAAACATCCGCTACTCTGTGCCAGAAGAAACTGACAAAGGCTCCTTCGTGGGCAGCATCGCCAAGGACCTGGGGCTGGAGCCCCGCGAGCTGGCGGAGCGCGGGATCCGCATCGTCTCCAGAGGTAGGTCGCAGCTTTTCTCCCTGAACCCGCGAAGCGGCAGCTTGGTCACTGCAGGGAGGATAGACCGGGAGGAGCTCTGCGCCCAGAGCGCGCCCTGTCTCGTGAGCTTTAACATCCTTGTGGAGGATGAAATGAAGCTTTTCCCTATCGAAGTAGAGATAGTTGACATTAATGACAACACCCCTCAATTCCAGTTAGAAGAGCTGGAATTAAAAATGAGTGAAATAACGACTCCAGGTACCAGGATCCCTCTGCCTCTTGGACAAGACCTTGATGTGGGTATAAACTCACTTCATAGCTACCAGCTAAGCGCCAACCCTCACTTCATCCTGGATGTGCAACAGGGACCTGAAGGACCACACCAGCCAGAGATGGTACTGCAGAGCCCTCTAGACAGAGAAAAAGAAGCCACCCACTACCTTATCCTCACCGCCTCTGATGGGGGTAACCCAGTACACTCGGGAACTCTGCAAATTCGTGTTCAGGTGGTGGATGTGAACGACAACCCACCATCATTTACTCAGGCAGAGTACCACGTGAGTGTCCCTGAGAACGTCCCATTAGGCACTCGGCTGCTCCAGGTGAATGCTACTGACCCGGATGAGGGAGCTAATGGCAAAGTAACATACTCCTTTCACAACGTAGACCACAGTGTGGTCCGGAAATTTCAGTTGGATTCTTACACAGGAGAATTAACAAATAAAGAACCGCTGGATTTTGAAGAATACAAAGTTTATCCGATGGAAATTCAAGCTCAGGATGGTGCTGGACTCATGGCTAGGGCTAAGGTGCTGGTCACTGTGGTGGATGTCAATGATAATGCCCCAGAAGTTGGAATCACCTCTGTCGCCACCAAAGTGCCAGAAAACTTTCCTCCTGGGACCGTAATTGCTCTTATCAGTGTGCACGACCAAGACGCTGGTAACAATGGTCACACCACATGTTCCATTCCTGGAAACCTACCCTTTAAACTGGAAAAGTTAGTCGACAATTATTACCGCTTGGTAACAGAAAGAACACTGGACAGAGAGCAAAGCTCTGGGCACAACATCACAATAACAGCAACGGATCAGGGCACTCCGCCCCTATCTACCCAAGCTCACATCTCACTGCTAGTGACAGATATCAATGACAACCCTCCAGTTTTTGAACAGGACTCCTACTCTGTTTACATCCCTGAAAATAACCCCAGAGGGGCTTCCATCTTCTCAGTGAAGGCCCGGGATGCTGACCACAATGAGAACGCACTCGTGACTTACTCCCTGGTGGAAGACACTATTCAGGGAGTGCCTTTGTCTTCTTACTTCTCCATCAACTCTGACACTGGAGTTGTCTATGCATTGCGGTCCTTTGACTATGAGCAATTCCGAGATTTGCAGCTAAGGGTGATGGCGCGGGACAGCGGGGACCCACAACTCACCAGCAATGTGTCTCTGAGTCTGTTTATGATAGATCAAAATGACAATGCCCCAGAAATCCTGTACCCTGTCCTCCCCAAAGATGGGTCCACTGGCGTGGAACTAGCACCTCGATCTGCCGAACCCGGTTACCTGGTGACGAAGGTGGTGGCAGTGGACAAAGACTCGGGACAGAACGCCTGGCTGTCCTACCGCCTGCTCAAGGCCAGCGAGCCAGGGCTCTTCTCAGTGGGACTGCACACAGGCGAGGTGCGCACTACACGAGCCCTGCTGGACAGAGATGCTCTGAAGCAGAGCCTGGTGGTGTCTGTGCAGGACCACGGCCAGCCTCCTCTGTCCGCCACAGTCACATTCACCATAGCAGTAGCTGACAGCATCCCTGAACTCCTGGCTGACCTGGGCAGCACTGGGACGGCCGTGGATCCCCAGGATTCAGATCTCACGCTCTACCTGGTGGTGGCAGTGGCCGTGGTCTCCTGCATCTTCCTGGCCTTTGTCATCGTGCTCTTAATGCTCAAGCTGCGACACTGGTACTCCTCACGCTTGCTCCAGACTGCAGCCAACGGATTGACGGACATTCCTGCCTCCAACTTCGTAGGTGTTGACGGGGTACACGCCTTTCTACAGACCTATTCCCGCGAGATCTCACTCACCGCTGACTCTCGAAAGAGCCACCTGATCTTCCCGCAGCCCAACTACGCAGACACGCTCATCAGCCAAGAGAGCTGTGAGAAAAGGGAATTTCTGTCCACACCCCAGTCTCTGCTTGAAGATAAAGAGGAAATATTTTCTCAGGTAAACTTGTAATGACCTTATAAGCTATATCGATGGAAGTAATTCATGTCTGTACATACTTGCTTGCACTGTTTTCTATGAACAGTATATTCCATTATACCCCAGTAGTGGTTGGGTGTTTTTATTTTTGTTTTATGCCACTGGAGATTAAACCTAAGGGCTTATGCATGCTGGGTGAGTGCTACCATTTTGAGACAAGGTCTTTTTGTTTGTTTGTTTGTTTGTTTGTTTGTTTGTTTGTTTGTTTGTTTTGTTTTTCGAGACAGGGTTTCTCTGAGTAGTTTTGGAGCCTGTCCTGGATCTCGCTCTGTAGACCAGGCTGGCCTCGAACTCACAAAGATCCGCCTGCCTCTGCCTCCCGAGTGCTGGGATTAAAGGCTTGCGCCACCACCGCCCAGCTGAGACAAGGTCTTGATAAGATACCTGAGCTGGCCTTGAACTCACTTTGTAGCCCAGCATGATTTTAAATTTATAATCCTCCTGCCTCAGACTACTGGAGTGCTGGGATCTCGGGCATGTTGCCACAACACAGTGGCCTACCCTTTTAGATTTCTATTGGCATTCCAGGGGTGGGGAACATGCCTAAAATCCCAGTACTCTGTTTCAGAAAAGGGTGGGGAGTGGAACCTCCCACCTTGGGAAGGAGCCCTTAGTCATACTGTGAGGGGTGAGGAGAAAGAGCGAGTGGTAAGGCCTGTCTCCTTTGGGAAATAGAACTGCATCAGAAACAAATTTGTCTTCTATTTCTCACTTATGTCTCGCTAAATCATTTCATTGTCTGAGTTGACTATCAACTTATCCAGAAGTGATAGTGGTGAAAATCATCAAAAGTCATCATTTTACTTGTGTTAATATAAAATGATAATAATCTAGACAGGTTGTGATTTTGTTGCTAAACATCTTAGTTCTATAATCTCTCATTAAGAGATATTTTATGTATGTTTTAAAATATATCTTTAAGTAACATGAAATGGAGGGTAATGGACAGAAATTTTGTCTTTCAACTTGAGAAACAGTTTTAAAGCTTCCCTACACACACACACACACACACACACACTTATAGTGAAATTTACAAAATGAAGACATATTCCCCATTAGTGTGTATTGATGATTCATAAGAAGTGCCTTGTGGGAGTCTGGTGTGGTGGCACACGCCTTTCATCTCAGCACTCAAGAGACAAGTAGGCAGATCTCTCTGAGTTCAAGGCCAGCCTGGTCTACATAGTGAGTTACAGGCCAACAAGGTTACATAGTGAGGCCCTGTCTCAAAAAAAAGGAAATGTATTGTGGGAGGGTAAATTCATGTCTTGTTAGACCTACTCTGCTCTATTAAAGTGGACAGATACATAAAACAGGAAAGCATTAGAATAATAAAGTACAAGTAAAATATAAATATCTAACTGGACAAGAGCTAA